CCACCCCTGTCATGGTCAGATCACTTCCTTGTGAGGTTTGAGCTCAAGAGCGGCCTTCCCCTCTGTAAGGGTGCGGACCCGATTGTGTTAGTCCGCCCCCAGAGCCAGATGGATCCGGATGGATTCCTGAAGGCCCTGGGGGAGTTTCCGGTTGACAAGTCTGGTGCTCCTGTCGATTCTCTGGTCGAACTATGGAATGGGGAAATGACCAGGGCTATTGACCCAATTGCTCCTAAGCGTCCTCTCCCACTGGGCAGAGCCCACTCATCCCCTTGGTATACACCTGAATTATGGGCGATGAAGTGGGTTGGGAGACGTCTAGAGCACAGGTGGAGGAAATCACGGGGTGAATCTGACTGAACACACTTAAGAGCCCATTATTGGGCCTATGCTGTAGCGGTGAGGGTGGCGAAGAAGAATTTTTTCTCCACTTCCATTGCCTCCTCACAATGCCGTCTGGTGGGTGGTACATGGGCTGGTTCATCCTGGCCCCAAGAAAGACCCTGTACTGCCCTCGATGGCCTGCTGTGACGACTTTGCCAAGCATTTTAAGGAGAAAATTGCTCAGATTCGTCACAAGCTGGATTCCACTAGTAATTCAGAGCCTTCAGGGGAGGAACCAATGTTGCCGTCTGGTCCTAATTTATTGGATGAGTTTCAGTTATTGCGGCCTGATGATGTGGACAAGGTGCTTGGACAAGTACGTCCCACCACCTGCCTATTGGACCCTTGCCCATCTTGGCTACTTAACAACGCCAAGCACGGGATAGGGACCTGGATCCTGGAGGTTGTCAACACCTCTCTAAGGGATTGGCCGAGTACCTGCCCCTTTAAAGGAGGCGGTAGTCCGACCAGTCCTAAAGAAGGCATCCCTGGATCCTGCCAATTACAGACCAGTGGCCAACATCCCGTTTTTGGGCAAGGTGTTGGAGCAGGTGGTGGCGGGACAACTCCAAGCACTCTTGGATGAAACTGATTATCTGGACCCATTTCAGTCCAGCTTCAGACCCGGGTACGGTACTGAATCTGCCTTGGTCGCCCTGTACGATGACCTGTGCAGGGAGAGAGACAGGGGGAATGCGTCCCTGTTGGTTCTCCTGGACCTCTCACCATTGACCATGGAATCCTTCTGGATAGGCTAGCGGGACTGGGGGTTGGAGGCACTGCTTTGCAGTGCTTCCACTCCTATCTCAATGGCCTATTTCAGAAGGTGGTGCTGGGGGACTATGGCTCTGCACCATGGCAGTTATGCCATGGGGTTCTGCAGGGTTCCATTTTGTCCCCCTTGCTATTTAACATCTACATGAAACTGCTGGGAGAGGTCATTAGGAGGTGTGGGCTGTGGAATCATCAGTACACTGATGATACCCAGCTCTACCTCTCGTTTTCCACCACTCCAGGTGAGGCAGTGGCTGTACTGAACTGGTGCCTTGCCAAGGTAATGGGCTGGATGGGGTCCAATAAACTGAAGCTCAATCCAGACAAGATGGAGGTCTTGTTGGTAGGTGGCTCGGGCTTCAGGGAAGGGGACCTTGACCTTATCCTGAATGGGGTTGCACTCCCTCTGAAGGACAAGGTCCGCAGCTTGGGAGTGGTCCTCGATCCAGAGCTTTCACTGGAAGCTCAAGTAACAGCGGTGGTGAGGAGCGCTTTCTTTCAGCTTTGGCTGATTCACCAGCTGCGTCCCTACCTGGAGAACGACTGCCTGGCAACAGTGACTCACGCATTGGTAACTTCCCGACTAGACTTCTGCAATGTGCTCTACATGGGGCTGCCCTTGAAGATGGTCCAAATACTTCAATTGGTGCAAAACAGAGCTGCCAGGTTGCTGACAGGGACTGGGCAGTGTGCTCACATAACTCCAGTCCTGCATCAGCTTCACTGGCTCCCCATTGAAGTCCGGGCCCAATTCAAGGTGTTGGTTATTACCTATAAAGCCCTTAATGGCTTGGGTCCTGGTTACCTAGAGCGCTTACATCCATACGTGCCCTCCCACCCCTTGAGATCGGCAGCAGAAGCCCTTCTCTGGGAGCCCTCCATGAAGGACATTAGGAGGGTTAGTACCCAGAGGAGGGTTTCTTTGCCGTGGCGCCCAACCTATGGAATGCACTCCCCAGAGAGGTCTGCCTGGAGCTGTCGTTATTTGCTTTTCAGTGCCAGGCCAAGACCTTTTTATTCAAACGTTATTTTAATTGTTGACTCTTTTTATTGATTTTAACAACTTTGGACAGGATGTCTCCATTTGTATTTTATTGTATTAATTATATTTATTTATTTGTAAGCCACCCCGAGGCTTAGGCGAATGGGGTGGCATATAAGTTTGCTAAATAAATAAATAAATAAAGCTGCCCACACAAACTAAACACTTTCAGATTGGCCCTCTGAGCGGAAGTCTCCAAAAGTGAAGCACAAGTGCTGATTGTGTTAAAGGAGGCAGACAGGATGCTGTGAAGGCTTCTGAAAGCAGCCCTGGAAACAAGAAGAAAGATATTTGACAGGGAAATCAAAAACTTTCCATATAAGCACAGTGACAGACTTTGTGAAGCGTAAGTATAGGTGCAATTTAAGGTAGAATATACACATTCAGAATTATTCTAGTTCCCACCAACTCCTGTATGAACAGGTTTGATTAGCCAGCATTCATGCAGGGAAAAAGGTGGCACATGCAGACTCTTTGATCTTAAAAATGACATAGGGTAAGGGATCAAGTGGGTTAGATTAAAACTAAAGAGGTGGCAATAAACAGCATCTAATTAAAAAATGCTTATCTGATAACTGACACTTCAATGGCTCAGTTTTTAAATATATTTTTATTTTTATCTTAAAGTAATTAAATGCAAAGAAAAAAAGGGAAAGAGATATAAGAATTCCAAGGGATTTTGCAAATATAACATATAATTTCATAACCTGGCAAATTTCCAGAAAAGCAGAGATTTCTATCTTTCTGTCAATCAGTACTTTGTTGCGGGACATAAAGAAAATAATTAAAGTTCTCTAAACTAATAAGTTTTCCAATCACATTGAGTCAATTATAAATGATTGCATAAAATTTACATAAAAATATAAATAGTCAACAATATTTTATGGGCTCCATTTTCTTCCATATTAATTAGACAGCCTATAATAAAATTTCCATTTTTCATTAAATCCTTCAGTTGGTCTTCTGCTTACATTTTGCCATCACTGCATCAGCCAACTTATTTTCCCAATCTTCAGTTGTTGGACATTCTGCTGTTTTCCATTTAGAAGCAATTATAATTCTTGCTGCAGTTGTCATATATTTAAGTAACTCTGACATATTCTTAGAAAAAGTAATATTCTAACCACTCATAGGAAGGTTAATTTTAAAAGGTTTTTTTTGTATTTCTACATATATCAACTTCCAGCATCTTTTAATTTTATCACAAGACCCATCTACTTCTTTGCCTTTCCAATATTTTCCATTATAGTTCTTGTCCATTTTTTCTATATCTTTTGGAGTAATGTACCACTGAAAAACATCTTATACCAATTTTCTCTTAATGCTTGACTGGCTGGAAATTTAATGCCCTTCTTCTATAGTACTTTCCATTGTTGGGATGATATTTCTTCTCCAGGGTTCTGCATCCAAATTGTCATGCATTTTTTAGCTTCTTGGGCTTCCAGTATCAAATTGGAGCAGTTGCTTTTAAAATCATCCTAACAAGTGGTCCTTTTGTTGTGTAATCAACTTTTCAAATACTGTCAAGTATCTCACTGTACCTTTTCCTGACTGGATTCCTTTTTTCAATCTTAACATCTCATTTAAAATGAAAAATCCAGGAGAAAAGCCATTTTAAACAGCTCATTTAAAATGACTTTTCTCCTGGCGTAATGTCTTTCATTCAGCACTAGATAATTGATTCTAGCCTGACAGATAGTGGAATGTCTAAAAGGTTTTGTCCTGATATCTGAAGAGAATAAGAACCTTAAATAAGGAAAGGGGTTGCCCCCTCAGGTATTTTGGCATCAACACATAAATGAGTTTGAAGGTAGGATTGTGTGAAGAAACTAACTTGGAGCCAGGGGAGGTTATATATAACTTTTGCTGCTATGAACTCATTGAGACTAATTATATAGCTGCATATAAACATAGCTAGCTGCATGTTTCAGGCCAGCTATCGTGTCTGAGACACCTGGAAGTCACCTTCCAGGGTAGATGCACTGGTCAAGCTGAGGGGATACCCAGCCAGGCACCCCATTTTTCTAGGATCTCAAACGATAGCTCATTCGTGGACATTTGTCTCTACCCCCACCCCCGGTCTTAAGACTTCCCCCTTCAAGATTGGTGGTACTTTTGCAAACCTTGAGGTTTTCCTGGACCTATTAAAATACTCCCATCTCGTGTGTGAATGGCGCTGTCTTCACTACGTAAGAACCCACACCAGGAGAACCTAGTTGCTGTTACTACATATGATTTTCGAAGGTGGTTTGGTTTTAGGTGGCAGACAGACATTGATGTAAACTTTAAAACAAATTAGACCCAATGTTTGATTATGATATATACTGAGCTTAAAAAAACCTCATGATCTACTGTAACTTTGGGGTTCTTTAGTATGAATGATACGCTGGCTATCTTACAACATGAGACAAAGAATGAAATAAGGACGAACGGTAAAGTTTACATACTGTAAGGTTATGAGTCCAGCCCTCATTGTCCGATAGTAACCTATGCGGCGACATTTACAGAGGGGGGAAACTAGGAGGGGAACCAGACAGCTAACGAACAATGCTATGCAGGGTATACAGAAAACAATGCCCTACAAGTCCTAGCATTCTCCAGCAACCCATGCTGCCTGGAGAATACTGGGAATTGTAAGACTGTTTTTGTCTAAACCTGCATAAGATGTAAAAATTTAAGTTCGCCTCTTTTATTATCCCGTATAGTTTATTTCGATCAATTGCACCATTCCCCTCTCTAACTAGGTCCTCTGCACATTCAGTGCAAACGCTAGCAAGCTAGACGTCCTTGTAGCCACCAAATGAAGCCCCGCCCACGCTCCAAAAACTCCGCCTCGGTTTCTATGGCAACTCGGATGCAGCGCCACCTCAGCCGAAGAGACGAGCAGCAGGAGCGGTACGAACTGCCCCGACTCGCCCCAGCGCCGCCTCTGCCGGTGTCCGCGTCTCCTTGGAGCCTCCTTGTTTGTTACGTCCGTGTCCCTTCGCTGCCTGCCGGCGGCGACCGCTGCTGCTGCTGCTGCTGGTGGCCAGCGCTAGCGCCCACGGGGTCGAGGCAGGGTCTTCCCTACCTTCGGACCACATGGAGGCTGCCCTTGGGTGGGTACCCGCTGTCGGAGCGGGCAAGGCCCCAACCTCCCCCTGCAGCGATGAATTCCGCCTGCTTCTGGGGACGAGATTTCCCGCCCTCCGGAGGCCCCTTGCGGAAGCCCCATGCGTCCCCGTGGTTGGGGTGGTCCCTTGGCAGGTCGGACATGTACGCGACCGCCGTGTCCATGGTGGCTCTTGGGCATGTGGCGGCGGCAGTGGCGTTGGCGTGTGTGTTTGCTTGTAGTTGGATGTACTGTGGTGTGTTTCTAATTTCCTGCACACGCACAAGGGCGCACGCACACACACACACACATAGTTCTTGGTGTATTTTTTAATGTACAAATCCTTTCGCAGTTTTTAAAATACTTTTTTAACTTTTGTAAGCTGCTTTTAAAACAAAAGCGGGGATACTGATTTTACTATTATTTATAGACTGCTGGAGTGACAAAAATAGAATGGGCTTGAACAAGAGTGACAGATGTGTATATTTACTCAAGTAATTTACTTTGGCTGCTTGCTGTGTGATGTACAGAATATAGATGTATTAATAAGGGTTGCTGCCCTCTCTGTTTATAAATAGCATAAAAATCAGGAGTGTAGGCATTCACACATACCAAAATTGTGTACTGCAGATGTTGATTGCAAATTCTAGGATTCACAAGTATTGCTCTATATATCAGCAAGGAGAAATGACATTTTGTATGCAATACCCCTGAGGCTTGAACATAAAATGTGGTGAAGACTTAGAAAAATCTTGTTATGGATTACAGTAATATTGTTAGTTTATGGTGGCCTATGTACCAGTGGTACCAGTGTTTACCTTGTACAAGCATTGTTCAAATTATTTGACAGATCAAATTTATTAGTCACAAGCATACTGGCTTATTGACAGATGTAATGTAAAAATCTGTTGGGGGAAAAGATGGCTAGTAAGAGAATGTGCCAGTTTCTCATATGTTTCTTTGAGTGGGGATTACTTGGCCGTATTTTTGTGTGATTTCAGTAGCAGATGAAATTGTGAAGATTGTGAAGAGTGTTAGGAGATGTTTTTGTGGCATGAACACATTTACATGTCATTCAGGTATGATGTAATGAATGCAATATTTTTTTAATGTGTGTGATTTTAAGTCTGGATAGGCATCTTGTGTTCCTCTTGTTCTTTCCTGCAGTTCCTAATGCTCAGCTTTGTTGACTGATGGAAATTTTAGGACTGAGTTGTAGGCCAAAACATTTAGAGGGCCACACATGACTTCAGGAAGATGATGTTTTCACTCTTCCTCTGGTTTCAACGCAACTAAATTCTTTGCAGTGTAACACTTGTATTTGGAATGGCTTGGGTGGTAGTCCTTTCCAATATCACATTATAGTGTAGCGTTGAAGGCTTGTGTAGTTGACACCTTCTGTTTTGTTGCTAATTGTGATATGTAGGAGGGGATTGCATAAAATTCCCACACTGCTTTTGGTATCTGTTGGACAACAGTTCTGGTGGTATTATTGTTGTATTTGGATTGGCAGTGATTAGCAATGGACTTAGTACAATATCAGTACTAAGATGCTTGATCTGTGCTTGAGAGTATTGTGCTGCTGCTCAAAAATAATCTGACAAGAAGTTTACTAACCACACAATTCTGTGTGTGTGTCTACAAAGAAGTACATTTTACGGAATTCAGTGGCAATTATTCTTAGATAAGTATGTGTAAAGTTGCAGCATTTTCATACGTCTTGCAAGAGAATCACTGGATAAACCTACCAGTGTATGATTGCACTTGCAGTGTTGGATCACCTTTGTTTGGTAAATGAGCTTTATTGATGCTTCTTAATTATGATTGCAGTGTGAAGAAAAATGAAGCAGGAGATGGCATTTCAGGGGATGATAGCTTTTTTCATGGAAGAGGAGAAGAAACAGAAACGGAAATTGAACCAGAATCTGACCTTGATTATGATGATGATGAAGAAGAAGAGACAGAAGATTATGAAGAAGAATGTAGTAAAGAACAAGATTTATTTAGTGAGGACTTAAACAATAATAAGATTGAACGTAAAATTGGTGTGCAAGAGTGGCCAGATGGGTCTAGCTACAGAGGAGAATTTGCGCTGGATCTAAAACTTGGATATGGAAAATTTGTGTGGGACAATGGCGAGGTAAGCTGGTTTAATGTTTAAAATGTTTTTATAGTGTATGTTTTTGTAGCTAAACCATATTGTATGTAATAATAACAACAATGGAACAAGCTAAGGATTGGGGAAGGCTATTGTAGCATATGTGTAATACCAATGATATTTTTTTCCTGTGTGGTCACCATTCTGCATGTTTTTCTATTGGTGAAAATGGTGGGAAAACTGTCTCCACACATGTTTAAGGAAGAAGACAGAGACTTATTGGAGGTGGGGGACTCCTCTTTTGTGTTTCATTGCAGTCTCTCAGAAGAACTGAGAAGTTGCTTTAAAGTACTCTGTATGATAACAGATTTAGACAGCTGGAATGCCTATAACAGCATTTTTGGAGATTTTTTTCTGGTATTTGAGAGCTCCATGCGGCAGAGTTATCTCCATGTATTTTCCTTTCTGGGTACACAGTGCTCCTCCCAGCTCACTGAAGCACTGTTTGGCATGCTGGGAGAGTACAGTTAAAATGAGGAGGAAGAAACAGTGGTACCTCATCTCATGAACGCCTCAGTTCACAACCAAATTGGGTCGCAAACAAAAATTACATAAAAATTTTGACTCAGGTCGTGAACTCCGCATTGGGTGGCGACCCCGATCATGGCCATCTCCCCACCCCCCACTCCCCGAGTGGGGAGATGGCCATGATTGCGGGCATGCTTGTGCAGGGAAGATGGGTGTGATTGTGACTGTGCTGTGGAGGGGGAGATGGCTGCAATTGTGCTGGGGGCGAGATGGCTGAGATCTCGCCCATCTTTCCTGCATGAGCATGCCCGTGATTGCATCCATCTTTCCTGCATGAGCACAGCCGCAATCTTGGCCATCCCAACCCCCACGCACAATTGCACCCATCTATGGTCGCAAGCATGATCACGCTCGTGCAGGGATCAAGAGTGTGAGAGCTGTCGTGCTGAGGGGGGGGGGAATGGGTGTGCTTGTGCTCAAGGTGAGGGGGGAGATGGCTGCGATCTTTGTTGTTCTTTGTCACTGCTTCAGATTTTTCTGATTAAAAAAAATAGTTACAGAACAGATTAACCTTATTTACATTGAACCTTATGGGGAAATTTGACTTGGCTCATCACCAGTTTGGGTCATGACCAGAGTCCTGGAACGGATTAAGTTTGTGAGCCAAGGTACCACTGTATAGGAAGATCCTTGTTTATCATCACATGCAAATTACACTTTCTCCTGCCTGCCAAAGAGCTGTTGGTAGATGCAGAAGGGTTTGCCTTTCTCCACTTAGTAGGAAGAATATTTCAAAGCTGGGATTGTCTGCTAGTCCATAATGGTGTGTGTGTGCATGTGTGTACATGTGCATATGTACATACCAATCCTTTGTTGTTTCTCTCTGCTTCCAAACTCTAACCTCGCTATTTCTTCTCCCACCTCTTTACCTCTCTGTTTCTTCCTCCCAGCTTTGCTCTTTCTCTCTTTTCTAATCCTTTACCTCACTATTTCCACCTCTCTTCCAGCTTTTGTCCTTGCACTTCCTCCCTCTTCCCCAGCCTCTATTGATTTGCCAGCATCTCATGGCAGCCATTATGTGTCTAGGCAAATCCTCCATGAGTTCTGTTTTGTGGTAGAACCCCTAGCAGTTTCTCAAATTCCAAACTGTATCTATGGTTCCAAAAATTGTGGATTTTAAATATATAATCTGCTATTAGCAGATCTGTGAGGAGTGTGCTAGAAATGTAAATTAGTTGCTTTTGTCTCCAGTCCAGAAATTCCCCCATTTATTAGCAGAATTGCTGTCCTGATGGCATGGATTCTCTACATGTAGAGGAAGAAAGCAAGAAAGGGTGGTTGATTTGGGTTCCTGCACTGGTATTCAGTGCTGATCACATGTTTGGTGATGAGGATATGGTTCAGATAAGGCACATTCCTGGTATTACAGTTGACCTTGTATACAGTCTCATATTTTTCAATTTGTCTGGTCAGCTTAAACAAAAAGGAAGTCAATGCAGTAAATGAATGGGCTGGTGGTAGGTCATTTCTACCCACTTGGTAGGCATGTCATGAGCAGAGCTAGCTGGAGCCAGTGGTCAGACTAGATGGCCCAGGAGACCCTTCCTGATTCACTCTGTTTCTATGTTTCTGTGTTGTTGGTGTGGAAATGCATTGGGTTGATGCATGAGAGTCAGAACATGCCGCTTCTTGCCCACCAATCTTTTTTGTTGTTGTTGTTTTAAACTTAAGACTGTGCATTTCCATGCTGACTGTGGAGGACTACTACTAGCTTCTTAGCAGGCTGGTAACCTTCATGGGCTTATTAATAAAGTTGTTTTACATCAAACTCAGAAAGATGTCATACACACAAGAATCTGTTTCTGTTGATTTGGGTTGGGAGAGGCTTTTCTTGTAAGATAGAAATATTTGCCTTTATTGTGAAGAATATTCACAAGTGGGTAAGATATGTAAATAGTTCAGGCATAGTACTTTCAAATGTAATTTTATGTATTCTATTTAGTCTTTTTGTCAGGCAGATTACCCTCATTATTTATGCTCAATAATATTTACTTGAATGGAATTTAATAAATATATCTCAGTAGTTTGTGTACATTTTTATTTAGTTTTTCTGATTTGCAATGAAAGTAGCTTGCAGCAATAAATCTAATATTAATGAAATTTACTAAGGCTGTAAATCCTGGATTGAACAAGGTTACTAGCTTTGTTTGAATTTCATCCTCCATATATTCCTCTTTTATTAAATGTAATTCTCAATATGTTTCTGTACAGTCATTTCCCTTGGATGAAGCCAAGTGGAATAAGCCTCCCTGACTTGCAAATGAATGCTCCCCTGTTCAAACCCTGTTGACAATATTTGTTAAATCCTCTCTTTCTTTTCACAGTATTCTTTGGAAAGGTGCGTTGGTATACATTTGCAGTCTTTTGTGGCTTCTTGTTGCACTTCACCTGTTTCCTGTTAACTTTCTCTGAGCATCACCAATAAATCTTTTTTTGTTTCCTGGTTAAATTACCTGTGCATAGAGATGAAGACTGAGGTCCAGAAAGGCTCATGCATACATTTTCTATATGTGTGCATACAAGTTGATTTTCACTTCCGGGGCTTCCAAAAGTCTTGCTCTAGCGTGTTCTGCATTTGCATTCTCTCTTTCTCTCTGTCACCCCATCTCTGACTGGAAGTGTCACTTCACATACTGGCCTTTTTTTTAGATATCATGCCTAAATCATGGTTTGTCAAGCAGAGGTTTGGGCCTTCATATTCTCCTTTTCTCCTTCTCTTCCTTGAACCTTTCCTTGCAGTAACTCTAGTTGAGGCTTCCAACCTTGGGAATTTGAGAATCTGCTGTGGGTAACACCACAAAATGTGTAATTAGTGGATTGCCGCTTTGGCATTTACCTGTCATGGCTCTGAATCTTAGGCTGCATCTTATTCAGCAGAAACTTTTGTTTTATATCTGTTGGATACTGCAACATCTTTTTAATAAGGGATTCCCTAATTTGGCTAATTGATGATGGTGCAAGATAGTTAATGCTCCCTTTATGTACACATTTTGGCAATGTCCCATAATTGCTTGCTTTGGGGAGGAGATTATCACACAGTTAAATTGCATGCTGGAACAGTTGTTGTAGACAGTCTTTATTTAGCTGCTTCATGGAAATTAACAAATGGAAGGGGAAATGACTTTGTTGTACCTTTTGACAGTTAAAAGACTGGTATCTGAACATATTAATATATTTTGCTTTCTTACAATTTGTGAATAGAGTGCTTTCACAAGTAATAACAAAATATTTCTTTTTATCCTTGTGTGCTGAGATGTTATTGCAGCCTGTGCATTTAAATCTTATCACCTGCATAATTTTTCTTTCTTTCATTACAGAAATATGTAGGACAATTTTATAAAGACCACCGTCATGGCAGAGGAGTTTACTTTTGGCCTGATGGTTCCAAATTTGTAGGGTCATTTTATCTTAGCCGTAAAGAAGGCTATGGATCCATGGAATTTAATGATGGAAGAAGATTTCAGGTAATTAGAAAATTCTAATTATCACAGTGCTAGCACATAATGAATATAAAATGAAGATGTTCAACAAAATTGCAGGATCTTTCTCTGTTCAATTTTTCTCATGCAAGTTTCAGAATTCAGAGCCAGTGTGGAATAGCGGTTAGAGTGGACTCAGGCCTGAGAAGTCCAGGTTCTAGTCTTCACCCAGCCGTGAAGTTTCGTGGGTGGCTTTGACCTCAACTTACTTCACAGGATTGTTATGAGGATAAAAGGGGAGGTAGAGAAAGACAATTTTGTGAGCTTCTTTGGATGCCTAGAAGGAAAAAGGTGGACTGTAAATATAATCAGTAATACTAAATTAGTATAAATTTGTTCACTTGTTTAATGTTGAAAAATCAGTTTATTTTAAAAGTTGTTGATGTGTAGTTTGCTCAGTGGCAAGAGCAACACTGAATGTGTATCTTGTAGTTGGAGAAGTACAGTCTAGAATTTGCATAGAATTTAGATAGTGCATGAATATAGTGAACACCGAGTAATGACTATTCACATATAGTTGGGAGCCTTTTCCCTTAGTGATTAACTAGTTTGTGTTAAAAATGCTAAAGTGGAGGGAGATTTGTATATGTGTACAAGGTTGTACATACCTAGCTATGGCAGATATTCCTGGGAGCAGAAGCAGTTATACTTGATCAGTTGATGGATAAAGTTTGCTTCTCCCAACCTTTGTTCCTCAAGTGACACTTGTATACTTTGTGGACCACACCCTGATTGTCTGTTTCTGCCCCCTTTTCTCCATTATTCAGTTGAGCATTTATTGCTGTCTTTAGTGTTTTGCATGACTACCCCATTAAACATTTATTTAATGCTTTGTTGGTATTTCAAAAACCTTGTTCTTCTTGTTAAATTTGAAAATCTGTCTGGAGAAGGTGTGAGAGAGGGCTTGCTGATCAACAGGCCATTACAAGATACCATCATAAGCTGAAGGTAACTTGAAATGAAGCAGAATTTCCAGACCATCACTCATAGCTCAGGAGAAGGGACAGGGAGAGCATGTGAGCCCAAATGTTGTGGCTCATACTTGTAATTTAAAGTGTTGGCTTAGTGTTGCATCTGAACAAAGGTGTTACATGTTTCAACTGGGTTGAAACACCTTTTGAAATGCATTGCATTTATTTCACTAGCTTTTATTTATACCTCTCTTTGTCTCACCAGAAGTCCTGAAGCTAGTATTCTGTATTAGTCACTTTCTTCAACTTTGCAGCAATGTGAATCCCAACATACTTTACCTTGTCTGCTTGTCTCAGCATCGCTGGTCAAAACAGTTCAGTCTGGATTTTAAAAATTGGTGCAAATTGTCCTGGTATGGGTAAGAAAGGTTTAGGCAGAAGGTCCATACAGAAAAAAATGTTTTACAACTCTCATGCTGTTTGGGGAAACCTGGAAGTTGTAGTATGTTTTTGTTTCTAAACATGCATAGGATTGCACCGTTAATTACTTTACTTGTATTTTTCTCTCACATCTTCTGTTTTTGAATATGTTTTCTTTGCTAAAGGGGCTTTATAAGGCTGATGAACGCTTTGGACCAGGAATTGAAACCCATCCAGATGATAGCCAAGATGTTGGTTTGTGGCATCGAAGTCATATAATTAAACTGTGTATAGAAATCTCTGGGTATTTTACTCTTTCGGATTTTCCAGAACTCAATCTATATGTTGATGCTGAGGCCAAGACAAAGTATATTTCAGATGAGAACAATACAAAGTGGGATCTGAATGAAGAGAAAGACCCATTTTTCTATAACTACAAACGTCTTCTCTTAAATGATGATAGCTACACATTGCCTGAAAACATGTACATATACTCAATTGATGCAGATCATCTTCCTCTTACTCGCACCTTCCTGAAAGAGTTTGATTTTCAATATTTTAAGAGAAGGAAATGGTTAGCTTATGAAAAACTATGGCCTGTAATGAATATAACACCTTTCTTGATCAGGATGCAGAAACACATATATAGATATAGGTAAGCGCTGATGTGTGGGCTGATATAGTTTATTATATTTTTTTTAGTGGTACTTTATTCTCTTACTACATTTTCTTAGATGTTTGAATGTGTGTGATTTATTTTTCATTTATACTTGCTTTCCTCAGCCTGCCCCTTCCAGATGTGTTGGGCTGCAATTCCTATCAACAACAGCAAGGATAGATTTGGCTAGTATTTCTATAGTGACACATATTGGGGAAGGCTGGTTTCTACCATATGCGTCCCCTTGTGTTTATAGCTGCTGCTGAACTACAAGAAAGCCTTGTGTTTATACAGGTTGGCTCTAACTTGTGCAAAAAATGCTGTGCTCACTTACTGTTCTACACAACTTATCAGGCAGTCTTAAATATTAATCTGAAATACTATTCTTTAAGACCTTCATTCTTTCAATAGGCCTGCATCATTGGCTTGGGTAGGAGGAGGACTATGGGGAGAGTCTGAATATTTGTGTGTGTATTTTTTTTATTTGGGTATGACTGTTTCTCTCTTTATTTAATCACCTGAGGCCATTTTTTCAGTGCTGTTACAAGAAGAGAGATGGTGGTATAGTTATCACAGAGACTGGAATTAGGTGTTTACATGACTTACTGTTTTCTATAATATATCAAGAATCTCCCCACATAGAATGCTGTTGTACTGGGGAGAGAGATAAGCTAAAAATCTTATCCCTGTTCATTTTTGTGTGTACAGAGGGAATATTTATGTATTACATTTCTGTACTGTTCAGTAGGTGAATTTATTAGGTGGTTAAAACATTTTTGAATGGAGGGGCACCAATCCAGAAATACCTCATCACATGTACACTTGCATTCTTTAAGATTATAGCTGAGATACACTATTACTACTTTGGTGAGGTCTAGCCTAGAGGAAAGGACTTGGGGAAGTGATCTCATACTTCCACATTGGTTCTTGGAAAGTTGGAAAGTCAAAATCACTGAGGACACAAACATTTCTATTTTCTTTCTAGGCCTTAAATGGGTTTTGCTCACTTTTAGGCATTGTCAGAAGGACATGGATTTGGACATTAATTGCATTCTGGAAGGCCATCGGAATGGCTTTGGAACGAAAGGTCCCAAAGAGCTTGCTGCTGAGGAAGTGATTGAGAAGTCAGCAGAAGGAGACTATAATAGAGTTTATGAGCTTCTCAGAGACAACCTGGTCCACCCAGACGTAGCGGATGTACATGGATATACTGCCCTTGCTGCTGCTGCTGTAAGGCTCAAAATCATACTATGTATTATGCTGATATCAGGCAAAATAGGCCAGATTTTTCTCTTTTCTACTGTGACAGTGTTCCTCTCTTTTAATAGTTACTTGAAAAAATTGATAACAGAGTAGCAGTTGTGAACATGGGCAGCATGACATTTTATCTGTAGACTATACCTATCTGCTAAGTTAAATCTACAACTTCAAACTCTTTTTCAATTGGGGTTTTAAAAGCATATGAGGATTGTGACAATTGTATTATTTCTATATGAAAATAATGCAAAGTTTTTTTGTTTAGTTGAATTTCCAGGATGACATCATCAACCTACTTCTTGATAGTGGGGCTGATGTGAATAAATGCAGTGATGAAGGATTATCTGCTCTAGCTATGAGCATTATTCATTATTTCCCAGCAGAATCATTTCAGTCCAATATTGCTGAAAGGAACATTAGTAGAAGAGAGGTCAGTCCTTCGTAAATCTGTAAGTCTGCAATACAGTTCCATGGAATTTCATTTTTTTTACAGTTGCTTCAGAATTATACTATTTACTTGCTGCTCATAATTGAACATGCTTCAGGACAGAGCATCAAAATTCTCCTTTGGTTTGCAGCCCAGAATGATAGTGTTGAGTGAATAGCCCTGTAGCTGTAATGTTAGGAGCGGTGTGAAACGAAACATTGGATTTAAAGCTCTCTATAAACTATTGTGTCTCTATTTTAGAGTGATGCAGTGTATCCTGTATGGGGTTGTCCATGATGGGTATCTAAAAGTAAAACCAGAGCTTTTCAGTGGGCGTCTCGGAGCTTCATTCTGTCTCACAACATTCATTTCTAATTACCTCCATTGATGTCATTCTACAAACTAGTAAAGATGCTGTTGTCCTGCCTTGGTTTGGGGAGATCATTCCTGTGGATTCCACTGGTTTTATTGTGTATTTTCTGATATTCATATTGTTGAGATTTGAATTTTAACTATTTTTACCTGTTTGATTTACTGTTTATCCTAGGAATAATTTTCTCTGGCGTTAAGGAGTAGCTTGATAGTATTATTAACATGATGATAAACTAAAAGCAGATTTAAGGAACATGTATATGTATGCCTTGTGATCCTTAATTGGGAAATTCTTCCAATTTTGTTTAGTGATGGCTCATTAAAAGCAAAAAGCAAGTATGTTAGAAATGGGGAGAAGAAAGCCAAATATAAGCCTTCAGTGAGTAACAGTTTAGCAGCAGATATAGACATCTGTGCTCCCAGCTTTCAGGTGGAAGCAAGCATTTTAAATTATAGCAGGACCCCCATACCTGCATGGATTGGTTCCAAGCCTTCTCAGCAGATGCTTGAAACCATGGATAATAGCAAACACTATACAGTACGTTATACAGTAGCAAGTAGGTGCTTGCAGGTGGCAGTGAGCCACAAAATAAACTCAAATAAACTATATATTCAAAATAAATAAATCAAAAAACCTTTGTTCATTTATATCTCAGTACTTTAATACTTTCTTTGACACTTTATGACTTTGGCACTTTACAACTCCTCTTTTGCGTTAAGGTCAACTGCAGTTAACTGAATACGCGGTAACCAAGTCAGCGGTTATGGGGGTTCTACTGTACTGTGTAGGGGTATCACTACCAAAAGGCAAGATCTCAAGGCATATGAGATCAACAGGCAGTGGCTTCCCAAATCATGGTGATTTATCTTCCCCCACAACCCATATGAAACCAATGCACTTGTAGCTTTGTCTTTTGATGTATCTCTTATATCTAAACATTGTTTCAAAAGTTTTCTCTATGCATAATTATACATTGCTCAGTGGGGAGCTGTTTTTACATCGGTAGCTTTTTGTCAATTCTAAAACACACTATTTAAGTTCTTCCTAACTGTCATTAAAATCCTAGGCATGTAAAGGCAGTTTTTTTACCTGGCAATTTAGAAACTAGAAGGATCTTTATGTAGGGTTTCTCTGGTTTTGGACCACCCTGCCTCCAGTATTTATCTTACTGCTCTCTGTTGATTGATCCCTGGGAGTTCCTTCATAAATTAAGGTATAGGCACTGCACACTTCAAAATTCAGGAAGAATTTTATCTCTAATAAAAAAAAATCTCAATATGTACATTGATCCTTTCATGTTGCACGAATAGGAGCAAACTTGTTTACTTATGTGTAAAAATTTAACAGCAGCTATTACTACTTAGGGCAGCTGGTCATCTTTGTCTCTTATAAGAGGGTGTTCCCTGGAAGAAAGGTGGGGTTTAAATGAAATGAACGAATAAGCAGAATGCCGTGCATTATTTAACAGCATTTTTGTGTAAAATTCTGAAAGAAGGTAGCCTAGGTCAGCTTTTTTACTGTTTTGCATAAAAACTCTGTTAGGTTGTTGTGAATGTGTACATTAAAACAGATAATGCAGTACTTTCGTGTTGGGGCACAGCCATCCATTTTTAGAAGCTGTTAGGATCTACGTGTTTTTGTTTGTTTTAAATAGGCACCAGAGCCCATAGAAGATATATCTACAGGCTCTGTAATATTTTCGCAGTCAGAGGAATCTCAAGAATCTCAAGCATGTACAGAAGTCAAAAGGTCTTCAACTGTCACCCAGGCATCCCCTGCTGAACTCCCTACTGAAAAGGCAGAATTTGGTATGGATGCTGAAACTAGATCATCAGAGGGTACAGAGGAAACTAACGGAAGAAAGAGCTCTGGGACAATTGGTGGTGTTTACAATTTCAAGATTAAGGTTTCTGCAGAAACAATGCATCGTGGTGCTGTTGTTCTTAGCCACCACATGTTAAAAGTATCTGGCTTAGCTGACAATGATGAGATTGCTCAGCATGAAGGCGCCCTGAGAAGAATGGCAGTATCAATAACAGAGTAAGTCATTTTAGAAAGAACACAGACCAGCCATCTGTAGACAATAATGAGAATAATATTGATGTCTAGGCAGTCCCATTTGGGTAGACAGCTTACACCATAGGTCCTCAAACTACGGCCCGCAGGATGGATCCGGCCCGCCATGGCCATCCATCTGGCCTGCGCTGCCGTTCGCTGCCCGCGCGCATGCCTGCTGCAAGGGCGGGGAGGTAGTGGCTTGATCGCTCGGAAATGGTCTCCGAGTGAGCAGGCTGCCGCCACTGCCTGCCTCCCGTATGTGTGCGCTCGTGGCTGCCTTGCAGCGCGGGGGGAGGGGAGGTGGTGGTCTGCTCACTCGGAGATGGTTTTGGACTCGCTGGGAGATCTCTGAGTGAGCAAGCCACTGTCACGCGTGCCTGATGCCGCCTCGTGTGGCCCGATGGCACCTCACCGGCCCGCGCCTCCAGGCACCCCCACCACACTGGCCTGTGACGGTCACCGCAGCCTTTCAACTGGCCCCCTATTCAAAAAGCTTGAGGACCCCTGGCTTACGCAAAGAAACTATTAGATCCTACAGTGAAGAATTTGTCTGAAGAAATGTTGAAGGTCCTTGCTTGGTGCTACTATAACTGTTCAGAATTTGAGATGGATAGCAGCCTGCACTGGTGGTGTGTGTGAAGTTGTGGTGAAGTACTACATTCGACAGCTGCTGAGCTGTGGCATAGAGCCTAGAGACAAATGGTTTTAGTCTTGCAAGAAGGACTTAGTGACATCTGCTGTGTTCATGTAAAACCTCTTGCAGTAAGGGTGTTCCCCCTGCCCACCCCTAGTAAGGTCTGTAATATTGTTACCTTCTGCAACTAGCAGTGAAACATAGACCAGGCTAAGATGCTGCTTCCAGTTAAGCACCATGTATTTTACAAGAATATTTTGATTGTGGATAAGAAAGCTGCTGTATGCACCAGGGATGCAGTCTTGTGCAAAATTCCAGAGATCTGCATAGAGTACTCCCTTTCACAGATGAAAGAGAGAGATTTGGATGCTCCCTTCTCTCCTTTCTCCTTCTGATAACCAAATACTTATCAGAGGGGAAAAACCATGCTTGACATTCATATTCACTGACTGAGGAAGGTAGACAATGTTAACATCTAGACATGGCTGCAATTTTTATTAGCCCCACTGCTGGTCTCAATTCTTGTAAAGCACATAAACCAAGACAATGGATGCTGAAAATGTTTAAACCACATTTCAAATCTCAAGGTGATAAAACTAAGCAAGTTAGGTGTGTTGGTGTCAACTCTTTAGGGGCGTCTAGTTGTGTTATTCACATTTAAAAGCAAAACAGACATTTTCCTGTTGTAATAGAGACTTAGAAGTGATGGATTGTTTGAAAGATAATGCATTACACTTTACAGCAATTAAATTGTGGCAACTGTATATATGACTTTTAGAACAAATGCTGCAGTTCTCAGTAAAACCTTTGACAGTCACCAGAGAGCTTAAACCATCATTGCACATTTCAGGACTCTATACATATCTAGAGAATTGTTTCCTGGATCACACTGTTAGCACAATTAAGTTGAGGACTGTCCTTTATTTCTTACATAGAGTGTGGTCTAGAGTGTGGTTCTTATTGTCCATTATGAAATACAAATTATACCTGCTTCACATTGCCCATTTTGCTTTCTTTGTATCTTCGAGCATAATTGAAGACCCTCCCCATTCGCAGGATTAGAGGATGAATTATATTTAGTTCACAATGGCATTAACCTTCTCAAGGTTCATAACCATTGACAGGTTTTCATTTTCTGCTGGTTTTAGGCAGAAAAAGAGACTGGCTACAATTGAAGTGCTCCTGAGAAGAGGTGCTGATCCCAATATGTGCAGCATTCCTATGTATTCCCTATTCTTTGCTGTTAAGGCTGCAAATCCAGTAGTAGTGAAAATACTGTTAGAAGCTGGAGCAAGGACTGATATACGACTTCCAACCAGAGTAAGAATGCATTGTTCATTATGATAAATATAAGTTTTTAAAGAGTTGTAGAATTTCAGGTAGTTCCTGGTCTGTTGATGTGAATTTTAGTGTTCTGTGCAAGTTTATGACAGTCAACAACTCAGATACAGCCCAGCAGTCATGAATGGTGGCCTACTAGGTACTTGACAAATGCCTGATTTTGTAGGAAGCAGTATCTGGAGGTTTACTGCGCCCCTGATGTGTCTAATTAGGTGAATTATGAATTGTATGGTTTTGTGTTAGTGAACTATTTTACTTTGAGGCTCAGCTTTGGGGTTTCAAAGGGGCTATTGCATTGAAACTCTTGATTTGATTTATTAAGATGCTTTCTCCTAGATCTTTACAAATGCATCTGTTGTCAGAATAAATAACGACAGTATTTTTAATTCTTCAAAAATACGGAAGCATGCTTAAATCCTACTTTGTTCATTTTGATTTATGCTCCTAAATAATACCTCAAAAACAAGGTGGTCTGTGTTGTTATCCATTGCAACTGATGGACTGTTTTGGCAACACAAGCTATTCTGTTTGATAATGCTGCTATAGAAATTCGTGTGATAATCTTTTTGAGTTGCAGAATATAATATTTGTGTGTGCATGTGTGTGAGAATATAGCAGGGCATTGTGATGTAGGTGTGCCCTCACTCATATTTTTATCAGCACAGACAAAAAGCATTTTTACTCATTGGAAATAATTTACAACATTTTTACTGTCTCCAGACATTTACTCTAGGAGAGAGATATTCAACGCAAATTTAATTAGTCTCAGTAAGGAAAACTGATATGAACTGTGACATCCAGCATATGTTGAGCTGGAACAGATTCTCTATGTATTATGGCTGCTGTGGTGGGAATGAGGTGAAGCTTTTCTTTTTCAGAAATATGATGGCATGGACTGTTCCCAAAGATATGATAGGATTGGAAGTGTGGTTATGCTACTCCGATATAGATACTGTGGGAAAGAAATATGCCATTTATAATCTATCTTGCCTGGAATATTTTGGACCGTGTAGACTAACCAGGCTTTCCAGTGGAGATTGATTTTGTGTGCAGTTAATGTCTTTCGTCAAAATACATGCCTCATGTGATAATGCTATCTGGACCTTAACTGTATTTAATTTTAATCTTTAAAAATTAATTAAAATGCTATATATACCCCTTTGGAAGCTGGAATGACTCACCTTTGTAATTTAACATGCTGGTGAAATTTTTATGAAACTTGTGACTTGATATTGTGGGTAAATACGACCTGCAATTAATTATAACTAATCATTCTGGTGTTCCATTTTACTTTTTATATTGCTTTTATTGTTATGGTAGTTGAAATTGATTTAATTATGTATTTTAAGCTGTGATTTCAATATTGTTTTTAACTTATATTTAAACTGCTGAAAGATTAAGTGATATACAGGTATAAATAAATAAAGCCTTTGCTTTTTAGCTTGGAGGCTTAACTCCTCTTCATATTGCTGCTGCCCTTCTTGGTGAAGAAGGAGTTCAAATTACAGAATTACTACTTCATGCAGCTACAAACCCTGATACAACAGCAGAAGATAAGGACGATATATACACACTAGACAGGACAACTGTCAAGGTTTGTCTGTCTAATCCTGTTGTCATCTGTTCATAAAAGGAGTTGAGCAAAGTTTTTGGGAAAAGTAGTTTGACCATTTGTTCAGTTTATCCAGATTCAGTTCTAGAGAGAAACACAGTAGAAACTGGGATTATAGCAAGGGGGGTGGGGGGGGGAGAGAGAGAAGAAGTGTGGTTGGTTCTAAACATATGGGCAAAGATGTATAAGTCTGCCTCTGTTTTCTCTTTCTGAACTGCCCTGCTGTCTTAGGCAGGCAGGCAGTGGACTTGTCTACCAACAGTTCCAGATAAAAGGATTCCAGACAGCAGGACTGAGAAAGACCCTAGTACAAGATCTGGAGGGCTACTGCTAGTTGAAGTAGGCCTACTACAGTAGCTTCATAGGATCATAAGCACTGTGTAGCATGTGCATGGCATAAAAATGCCACTAAGTGGTCCGTTAGGGAGGATGATTCCTGCATCACTCTGAGCCAGGGATGCAAACGGTATGGGCTACAGGCAGCCCTCCACAAATGCTGTCTAGTGCTCCCCCCACCCCAACCTAAAAACCAGGGAAAAATGAAGAACTCTGCAGGAACAGGCTCTGTAGTTGCCGCCATGCCATCCTTGTTCTTAGAGCATTTCTCATTTCTGGTTGCAGAATGAACTCGCTGAAGCACCATCAATGATTAAGATGTTTAATGAAACAGGACCACCCAAAAGCTACTACAAAGAATGTACCATTATTCCAGAGGAAGGTGGGAGGACTGCTCTTCATATTGCTTGTGAGAGGACAGATAATTTTCAGGTGAGAGGTAGCCGTGGGAATCATTTCCTCATGCTAAACGTTTTTCTTTTACTTGCTTTTGACATTCATACCTCTCCTAGTTTTCAGATCTTACATTTTTTCTTGATAAGGACTAAGGACATAAGGACATATTTTAAAAGGAAGAGTTGCATTCATCTAAGTACTTCCACCTTACTAACATAGATGGTCTAATATCTGGGCTCCGGGCCTAGTAGTTTGAGGATCTCACCCATCTGAAAATAGGTATCCATTCCATAAATATAAAATCTAATGCTTAGTACATACAAAGGTCTACAAATAACACTGTCATACCAGCACTCTAAATTCTTTGCCTGAGCCTGAAGACCAGACTTCCAGGCTACATAAATGTTTGTTGTTTATTAGACTTTCAAATGCTTTAACAATGCCAAATATTTATCATAGCTTTCATCATTCTGCAGGTGGCAAGGTATGAAAGTGTAACTAGATTATATTGCTAATCATATATTTGCGATGAACCTGGCTGTATCAGTTAGAAAGGGGAAGCTAACATTAGAAAAGTGGAGATGCCAGACACAGTAGCCTGCTTCTGTCCTCCGCAGCACCATTTGCAAGCCTATAGTGGCTTCAAAATGGAAGAGTGGTAGAATTCAGTATTGCAGGTGCATCTAAGACAGTGGATTCACATACTGAAAGCTTTCTTTTTCACCAGAAATTGCAATGAATATTAAAGAGTTGAGGGGATGGATCCAGAC